GTGATCGTCATCCTGCTCGAGAATGCGTTGACCAAGCAGTTACTTCCCTTAAAGTTCTGGAGCGTACATACACCGATGGAAGAGAAACTACGACAATTCTGAATGGTGTGAATAACGCCTATTATTCTGCTGACCATGCTAGCTTGTGGTACTGCTTATCTTTGAGGCATATGAAAGGAACCCCTTTTCATAATACAACCTCTTTGTGCAGGTTCCAGAAATCGGAAAACAGTCTACAGAAAACTATCGTCTGCATTCTCCATGATAAACGGATTTGGCCAGGCTTGTCATATATTTTTCCTTTTTAATTATGTGGTAAAATCATCAAAACAACACACTACTCTCATAATCTTCTGGATTGGTAGTTCGGCCAGGTAACCGATTGACAATTCTTGGGTACCGGAGGAGACCATCCTCAATGAGGGGAACCCAATGGCCAAGCAAACTACTAAATATACCTACGTAGACTACTAAATATGCCTGCGCGCCTTCAAGTAAGAGTTGCATGTTTTCCACTTTCAAAATTCATATTATATTTTGCAGCACTGGACGAATACACCACTGCTTCTAGTTAGTGCATAACGGCCAATGGAAATATTCGATCGGTTCATTTGCATTGGTCATTGTGTCACTTATGGTGGTCACATCATTGTGAAGGTTATTTCGCATAGCAAGTTCTGTCAGGTTTTTCAATCCTTCAAATCCCTATGATGGCGATGGGATATCAGCCTGCTAGACGTAGGGTTTATGCCATTTGTGCCTTCTGTGGTGCAACCTGTAAGAGAATCGATCCGCTGCTATTGATCCAAGCATCATGCTTCCTGCATCATTAGATTCGCTGCCACGCTGTCACGATCATGTCAACATCTGCGGTCTGCATATCACCCATGCCCACACCGGAATGTATTGTCGATGGAATGTCATATTCCAGATAGTAGAAACAGGTGCAGCTCTAGATCCGTCACCATCTAGCAACCCAACATGGCAGGGTAGTTTTGATGTTAGTTCCGGGAGATGCATTTGATTCCGTCCCTGATGGTGAGACAGTGGTGAAGTAAGTTGCCACGAAGTTCACAGCCTTTCCCGCTTACTAGATGGTCCAGGTTTGTCCGTTCCGTCGAGAGTTCCAAGCAAGTTACTAATGGCAGAATATTGCTGAGGTTGTATACGAAGTCGAATTGTTCGATCGACTTGATGAATGTCTTTTGGAGCAGCTCCTTGAAGACATTTAAACACATTTCATTAGAAGGGAATTTTGGTCCCAGCCTTAACAGATCGATGCACAGTTGGAGCTATTCGACGCACCACTCGTCAAGCCCATATCGCGTTGCTTTGCCTTGAAAGGGAGCGGCCGATGGCATACGCCAAAGGAGCCTTCACTACAGCTGTTCCGAGCTATGACTACCGATCCCATCAAGTTTCCGGATAGCCCAACCACAACCACCAAATCGCGGAAAGTACAACTATTTGGTAACAACAGAAGACTTCCAGGTCAGTGCACTCGTGTTCAAGCAGGTTTCATACATGTCGAATACAACGTCGAATGTAATGTCAACGATGACAGTAGCATTACGAGTTGCGGGGGTCCTGTTGGCAGGTCTCATCACTAGGTTGTAACATTCTAGTCGTGAGAACGTAGATGACTTAGGAAGGACTTCTGTTACACAACCTGTTGGCCTCATGAAAAAAGAACCAACATGATGTAAAATGGAACGAAAGAAACACTAGAGTTGGCTGTTGCCTTTGCGTTTTTTTTCCTTCGCCAGTGATTCTGCAAGAATGACACGTTGAGAGATAAAGCAGAGTGCCATCAAGGCAACGATTCAAATGCAGTTACGCGCGGAAAGCATTTTGCTCTTTCGTTACTTTACTGTACGGAACTGCATAAAGGTCACTTATAGTTAAAGACATATAGAGGCTTGGTTATATTTTAGCACCAGTGCATGTGGAGTGTTCCTCATCCAGTGTGGAAACATCAGATATGCACTATTGACATCCATTGGTTCATCTTTTGCAAAAAGTTGTTTGGTGTCCATCTGTGTGCATCTTGACCGCTTTCCTCGACGTAGATTACATACTGCCTTGAATCAGGTTGGGCGACACCATGAGATGTCAGGTGGATTTTGTCGCAAAGGAGTTGAAAGCGGCTTACATGAGTTTAAAGGAATCGTGAAACGGATTCAACAAGATATCAATGCAAGTCAGGCTCCCACAATGTCAAATCCCGGGATGGGGTATCCTATCTACAAGAGTGGAGGCCATGCGTTATCAGTGAATTGACGTCCGCTAACACTACTCCCGTTGATCTCTAAGTTCATAGAGGTGATTGTCGCTAAAGCATCCATATGGTATTTTGTGAGTACCCAAGCAGCAAGGCTTTCGCCAAAATCGCTCATGTACTATTAACTCGCTGATGGTTTGGGCATTCTGTACAGATTTGGTGGATGTTGGCATAACATTAGATATTATCTATCCGAATTTCTACATAACGTTTAATTATTTAAATCATCGCGTTCTTCTTCACAAGCCTCAGAATAATGGAATCGTGGATCCAGTTATAGTGTGGGTGGGCAAGTTCCTCGTTTAAATTCATCTGAATGCGGGGGTATATAGCTTCCTATGCGATCCAGTTTAAGTGTCTTGCGACATGCGACAAATCCAGGTTCTCGGATCAGTTCTAACCCTGGTCTTCATAAATGATCTCACGACGGCGTTTTTCTCACAATTTTTCCTAATTTACGGATGATCAACAGATATAATATGCTATCACTACAACTGAGGTTCAGATAGCCCTGAAAAGTGATTTTGATAAAGCTTCCACATTTTACACCGGTAAAACCGTTGTTCCATTGTTCCATTGGTTACCGACTAGAGCTACAACATCTGCAGCCTGCTCCCCTTTAAGATCAATCTCGGCACGCTCGTGCAAGTTGACCTTGGCTGTTCGAGGCTGACTGGATGTCCTCGAAATAAACAAATAAACACTTCGGCCTCCTGCTTGAGTCATTCGTAAAGTTTGACAATTCAATCCTTCTGCAAATGCATGGCACGTGAGTGACATACTGTCCGGCACTCGAGACCCCACGATGCAGAACGAATAAGCACGTTAAAATGTTATCCCACCTTCCATGACAAATCAATCTGATAATTTTAGGATTGTACAGAGGGCTTTAACCAAATGTACTTGGCGATCTTATAATGGTATAACAGAGCCCAAAATATTCCAACCCCATTTGTTACCAACTGTTGAAATTCAGCCAAAACACGTCTCTGTGTGGCCATCAGTTTAAGCTGGTCACACGGTACATCGGAGCGGAATGTCGACGAAATATATTCTCCCACCGAGTGACACACTCGTGGAAACCCTTTCCATTGCATGAACTTATCGCTGTTCCCTAAGCAATATTCAAAAGATGAACTAGTGACACATTGAAATCTTTGCATTACTTGATATGGCCGGCCACTATCAACCGATGACATATGCGCAAACAAACAATGAGCTGTATTAGAATTTTTTCAACATCCAGGCAGGAATTATTTTAACTATGCTGCTGCAAACCTCTTGATGTATTCAGCAACAAGAGCCTCATTTTATCCATAATGCCTTTTTATATTGTGTTTTTCATCCAGATTGTACTAAGGGAATGTCAAGTATTTGCCATTTATCCGTTAAAAACAAATGCTTCGTAAATCTCGGGTAGAAGCTGACGGCGGTCTCCCTTACGGTTGGTGCTCATAATTAGGACGAAGTATTCTGTCTTCCGCGCCGGAGCTGCTAGTCTTCGCGTACTATATACGTTTGGCGAAATTGAAATCTATGTGGCCGCTCAAAATGTTGGTTTGAGCGCCCGTTCGTCAGCTCTCTTCCCTGGTGACAGCTAGAAGAAGTTTGATTGGAATGGTTCCGAGTGATGTGATCTAATCGCCGCTCATTCAGAGTCTTAACGTCCATTATATTTGTCAGGCCATTCTCGGCTTTCGTACAACCTCATATGGAATCCTGCATCCAAACTTGTCCACCATATATTATCCAAAAATTGCACTTGGAGAGCAAGTAACGAGTGGGTACTATGTTAGTGTAAGGTCTACAGGGAAAGACGTATCCTGAACGCTTGCTTAGTTTGGAGATGTACTCAATACACTACCGAAGGATAAGTGGGGACTTGATTCGCACCTACCGTATTTTGACGGGGAAGATCAACTGCACGTGTGTTGGCCATTAAGCCCCATTAAGTATCTTAATCTCCGCAGTCACGCTTTGAAGCCGCACAAACCGCGCGTTAACCGGTTTATGACGGAAAATTTTCTGTCGCACCGTACTAGCACGCTAGAACTGGCTTTCGAAGCACGCGGTTAGCAAATCCACGGTTAAGGGTTCCGAGTGTCAGCTCGGTGCTTTGGGTGACACGACAAAAGGCTTTCTCTCAACTAGATTACATGGTCTTTCATTTTACATTTTTGTAACTCACTGGTTCGCAAGAGTATGGTCGTGGGTTCGATTCTGGTGGGATTCGACGAGTGCGCGACAGTGACAAGATCCAATAGTATGCAACAGCTGCCTAATGCTTTCCTGGATGTGTGGTGATTGTCTGACTTCGATATCGGCGACGAACCTACTCAAAAGTCATCATGTTCTTATAAATAGTCAGTTACGCTCCACGTCTTGAGTTCTGAGTTTACAGTTTCCTCTTTCTTACTTCGCGCAATCGACACTGCGCGGACTGCATCTGATACAGTTTTTATTTTAGTTTCATTCAGTTTGACGACCTCTTCTCAGTTAAACTTCAACTCCCCGAAATTAGCATTTCGGATTATCCAGTTACTGTTTTCCCTATCTGCGTCCCTTTAATCCGAAACTAGATATCTTACATATTGGGTTAACGCTTCTGCTTCGTTGATATTACTTTGACATTTACCTACGATTAAACCGCTTCAGAATATGATAATTGCCTCTACTTAGTTGAATTTCTTCCCGATCGTCTTTGTTCGTACCCCAAGATATGAGTGTCATGTCGTCATCTGCACCTACGTCTCCCACAAGTAGCGATGGAGATGACCTCCTACCAACCTTGCCGGCTGTCAGCTCCCAGCACAGAGATCGGCGTAGACGACGACCGATCCCACAGTTCAGCTACTCCAAGACCAGAGCACGTCCTGGTTTGATCGCCCAGTGTGGCCCGTTCTTCGGGTTTAACACACGAAAGACAATACACCGTTCATCTTATCATTCCGATGTGAGTCAGTCCGCCCCAAGCAGCCCTACAGCCGACACATATGAGACATTGCCACTCGTTGAGCACGCAGTTCAGTTGGACGGGATATGCTCAGGCGAAACACCGGAGGTGCATGTTCTACGAAACTCTACGGCAAAGCGCGACTTACCGACTGATTTGCGGAAACTGTGTTCCACCATGAACATCCCCAACAACTTCCCGGCTGCGACCAAACCTAGCTTGCTACAGGTGCTTCAGCGCCTTGGAATACAAGTGAGTGTCTTGTTCCTTTTTTATAGTCGATATTGGTTTCTAATGCGGCCCAACTTTCTTCGAGTTCGTCACCGTGACCGCACTCTATGTACAGAATAAAGTTTTGTATAAATAAGTAAATAAAGAGGAATAATTTGCTTGAAGTGAAAGACACTACTAACATTCTGAACGGGGATTTCTACAGAGAAGAAGTATTGCCGTTAATGTAAGCCCTGCTATGCTACAGGCCTGACCGTAGCAAGTAGATAGTTCGCTTTCACCACAGGGTCGATTGGATATATTCCACCGAATTTGGTCTTGATGCAATCGATTTTTCGGTCGCGGATGTAGTTATAGTTACTAACTACATTACGGTTATTTATCATGATGGGAGTCCAGATGATTGAGTTAACCAGTCAGATATTCAAGTAAGTAGTCTAGTGTGTTGGATCATGTTGCTTACACAGTGATGTGTAATATCATGCAGCGCATTTCCAGCATAATGCAGGCAGCTACGTGCACTCTGCTGATGTGATCTGACCGGTTTTACTTCCGTCATGTTGTTCTGTCTCTGCTCAATCATAATAGTGTCATGCTTCAGGTAAAGGAAACGTCGTTATTCCACAATCGTCTTCTGTCATGTGATATCTGGGTCATTCTCCATCTTGGTGAGCAGCCGTGTACATATGTTTGCTCCGACAAAAACTGTAGACCACAAAACAACAACAAGCGTTTAAAATGTTCGCCTTCGCGTTTAGCAATATCTGAGTGGGTAATGTGGTCATCCACGGTGTGCTTGAACAGTTTCAAATAATAATAGCTTGTGTTAAAGACTGAGGAAGATTTTCTAAAAGTCTGCGTCAGATGCTGAACAGTATCACAACGTTTAATATCGGGAGTGGTTGAGAATGTGTACGGAATTATTGAAGGATGCTGTTATGTTATCATTCATGAACAAACCAGGGCCACCGAACCAGCTTTAGTAAGGGGGAAGTACGTTGCCGCTGGGCCGCTTCCGTGGCCTAAGTGTGTTGTAGTGGTGCTTACATTGAAGTCTGATGATCAAATGTTAGATATGGAAAATAGAGCTATAATGGCAAGGTTTAGATAATGAGTCTAGCCAAAGGCAGGCAGTAGCCGTAGAATGTACAACACTTCAGTTGTCCGTAATCGACTCCACATTGTCTACTGCGCAGCTGTTTGTAATACCTATTAATGTACTTCCGTGACTGCTCGGACGTGACTCGGAACCAAGTAATAATTCACACCAAAGGGACAAACCATCGCCACCATAAGTCATATGAGAATAAGAAATTTGTGTGCTTCAGCGACCCTCACGGAGTTGTTCAAAGCATGTAATTAAGTAGCAGAGGCGATAACTCGTTCTTACGGACAGTTCCAAGATTACTTAATCTAGATAAGTGTACACTCAGATGCTTGCTTTTCAGAGTGCAAGAACACCAGGAATCGGCAGAGATTGTCAATTTCGCTGGCTGTGCAGTCCAGCACACACACACACATTGTTGGACACAAAAGCTTTCTTTTGGATGCTTGTGAGTAGTGTAATATTCGTAGAAAGTAGAAGTCACGATTAAACTTCCTCGACGGGGAATGGAACCCCGGTCCAACGAAGTTCCGGTCCGCTGCTCTACCAGTGAGCTACCGAAGGCTGACGATTAGGTGCGCAATTTAATACACGACTTCTGCTTGGGTTCGATTCCCCGTCGAGGCAGATTTTTGTGTGCAGTTTAATCGGGACTTGTACTTCTACAAAAGCTTGCTCTCTAGTCATGCTGAGAGGATGGTAGTTCCAAATGAATTCGCACCGAAATGACACCTACATCAGCGTGACAAGTGCGAGAAAAAGAAAGACTTTTCAATGTCCTAACCAATAATTAGTTGGATATCCAAATTTAGTTCATTATTTCAAGCAGAGTACAGTGGAACAGTGATATTACATGGGCCAAAGAAACCAAAGTTTGATGAGTCTTGTAGGTTGGTCTGTGAGAAATACGGCCTCAGAGAAGTGATACATCAACTAAACCGTGTATCCGTGGACTCAGCATATTATCCACATTAACACATTTGTGGTGGTCGATGAGCACCATGTTTGTCCACCTGTTATCCTCCTTCAATGACCTAAAGTCAAATAAGTAACGCAGGTGGTGTAACGCATCGTAGAGTCGTTTTTCAATGGATAGATTGGGCGCCAGTGACACAGAAGCTATCTTGTTATCGACAGCTCTTCGCCGGAATGCGTCATACTCTATCCGGATATTCTGTGGAGGGGGCACAGACATACGAAGCACGAATTACACGAAAACCGAAAGGAATCCGTAGCCAGGACCACCCTTGTACATGTTCTTTTCGAGAATTGAGGTCATGATGAGGGCGAAGCTACCACTCACGACCAGAAACAGTGACAATAAATTTTTAAGAGACACTCCCTGGAAAACATCATAACGGAACCGATCTCGATGCTACGCTGATCGTCAAACCACAAAGGATGTGGTCCAAGCATTGTGAAAGTGGTCCTGCAATTTAGACAAATGTCGGTAATGGTACTGGAGTGCTGGGATGCGGGTCGCAGCAGCCTTCCTTCCGAGCTACGGACCAGAGCAGCATCTGCTAAGCAAACACACGAGAGCAGCCACTTAGTCGGGCCATTTTCCAACAACCGTTTGGCTAACTTCAATCAAGTAGCCAACAAAAACGGCAAACATGCCCCATACATTAGATACAATGAGAGCAGCAATGAGGTAATGGTGGGATCCATGGATCGGACATAGATGAGTTAGACATCTTCTCACCCAAAAACGATTAGTTGCCGACCTTTTACCGGTCGGTACAGCATTTTATCTAAAACACGCGTTTCACGAATTCTTATTAAGAACAGAAAATCGTTCCTGCATTTACACCAATGCACAAGGTCTTCTGTGCAAGCTTGCAGAACTGCGGCTATGTCAAGCGTCGCATGCCTGCGACCTCATATTTGTTACCTAAACTTGGTAGCACTCAGAGTACTGACGCCAAAGCCGTGTTACATGGCATGTCCCTTCTCCGTAACGTGCGCCCAAGTTAGGGCGGTGGGGTGAGGTTATACTGCCGCAGCGACCTGCAGTGCGAACCAGTGGCCGATCTGGAAACACTGATCTTAGACTCACTCTGGTGCAGTCTATGAATGAGACGCAACTACACTTGATTTTTGGTAGTTGTTTATGCCCCCCCCCAATGTCCACCCCAAAGATGGATTTCCGCCCAAAATTAGCCTACGACGACGATTTAGTCATGTTCTCATCTTAGATGTCTTCAATATTCATGATCTGGAAGCTCCACCATACTCGATTGAGTACTTTAAGGCCAACCTGCAGGAATAGGTGGCAAGCACTCCGCTCTTCAGCCATGTCAGCTCGCCCACCGGATTCAGAGCGGAAAATAAACCACCTGTGCTTGATTTAGTGCTCACAAACGAAGAGCTCCTGATTGCGAAATCAAGGTTGGTGGGCTCTCTAGCGTAGAGCGTCCACGTAAGCAAAAGTTACGACATCGGGTGTTTCGCGGAGCATCCACAAGAACATTGTGACGTTTCGAATAATCATCAACTACGACATACTGGCAGAACTTGTGGGAGATGTCATCTGGGAGTGTTCGGGCGCTTGTTCCATTGATTGTGGTTGGATGGACTTTGCTGGCAAGTTCAGTGATCCGATTAAATCTACGTCGCTCAACAAGTTCTTCGTTCCGCAACAGCCCAAACATTCATTTGGAGCAGAACCAGAAACCACGACAGTAAGAGACGCCGCGTGGTATATGTATAGAGCGAACCATAGCATTGACAACCAAAACAACTATGTTGTGCATCGTAATCCCTGTAACACACTTGTCTGTGAAGACAAATTAGTACACCAGCAGCGTCTAGCGGAAGTTTTGTGTTAACAAAATGCTTCTGTGCAGACATGTGAACAGTCTCCGAAATGTGAAACGTGGTGTTCTCCCACTAATATATGCAGGTGTATATGCTCAGACCGCCGAGAATGTAGCCAACGTTTTACGGCTACAATATGCTCAAATTTTCCGACGTGCTACCAGCATTTTAATATAATTGTGCCATTCTTCCAAATGCCAGTTTTTCACAAGTCACGTTTAGTTCAGCGACCATTTTGAGGAAGCTGCTATCGCTGCGCGTCCGCAGTTCTCCGGAGTTGGCAACATTCCCCAGATAGCATTGCAGATAGCATGTACGAGGATGGCTGAGCAATTAACGAGATTTCTCCAAAGATGTTTGGATGAATTGCAGGTTCCCAATATGTGGAAGCAAGACATCCTTACCTCAATTTTTAGATGGTAGTAATTCGGAGCCTGTCAACTATTGCCCAGTGGTTCTCCTCCCGGTGCACTCAACGGTGATGGAGTCAATCATAGATGACGCTGTAATGCGCTACTGAAAGGTCCAACATCATCGCACAGAAACAAGGTGGATGCCGTCAAATGCCCATGTCAGCTGGACAGAGGTAGCCGACATCGGGACCGGCATTGATGTCATCTACCTAGACTTTTCTAAAGCACTCGACCGCATAGATCACCGTATCCACCTCCAAAAGCGTACGGGATTGGGAACCCTGTCCTTGGATGGATCGAAAACTACCTCCTTCAGCAGCGACTTCAGGTTTGATTTCGGGGATCATCTTCTGATCCAATAGGTATGGATTGCGATGCTCAACAGGGGTAAGCGTTGGGGCCGCGGTTATTCTTGTTCTTCATTTAAGACTTTGCGAGTGTCATGGAGGTAAATTTCCTCCTTTTTGCCTATGACATCAAGACATGGCAGACAATCGGCTATCAAGGTCACTACATGCTGCTACGAGATCTAGATCCTGCCTTTGAATTATCAGGGGCAAATTTACTTCCATTTAACACAGACAAATGCAAAACCGTGTATGTCTGCCACAATCCCACGTGTGCATATAAGCTTGAAAACGACATACTGAAAACCGTCTCACAGGAGCGGGACCTTAAGGTAG